GGCCAGGAGCGCCTGTCCCACCTGCGCCGCAAGGCGGGCGAGTACCGTGCGCTGAAGGCTGCCCTGCGCGCCCGCGCCGCGCCCGCCGAGCTGGCCCAGGTGGGCGCCGCCGTGCGCAAGGACGTGGTGCGGACCGACCGCGCCCACCCCTACTTCGGGGGGCCCGAGGAGGGGCACCCCCACCTGCTGGCGCTGCAGGAGCTGCTGACGGCCTTCGCCCTGGCGCACCCGCGCCTCTCCTACTGCCAGGGCATGTCGGACGTGGCGGCGCCGCTCTTGGCCGTGCTGGACGACGAGGCCCAGACCTACCTGTGCTTCTGCTCCCTGATGCGCCGCCTGCGCCCGCGCTTCCGCCCGGGGGGCCGCGGGCTGGCCCGGGCCTTCGCCCACCTGCGGCGGCTGCTGCGGCGCGCGGACCCCCCGTTCTGGGCCTTCCTGGCGGCGCGGGGGGCCCACGACCTGCTCTTCTGCTACCGCTGGCTCCTGCTGGAGCTCAAGCGCGAGTTCGCCTTCGAGGACGCGCTGCGGGTGCTGGAGGTCACCTGGAGCTCGCTGCCCCCCGCCCCGCCGCCGCCCCCCGAGGGGGTCCCGCTCCTGGGGGCGCCGCTGGGACCCCGGCGCGCCCGACGGGCGCTGAGGGAGCGCCGGGCACTGCGGCCCAGACCCCCCCGCGGCAGGAGGAGGAGGAGGAAGGGGGAGAAGGAGGAGGAGGAGGAGGAGGAAGGAGCGGGGGGCGGAGCAGTGGGGGGGTTGGGGGGGGCTGAGAGCACTGGTGGTGGCACTGGGGGTCCTGAGGACGTCCCCGAGGGTCCCAAGAGCTCCAGTGATGTCCCTGAAGGTCCCGAGGACGTCCCTGAGGGTCCCAAGAGCTCCAGTGACGTCCCTGAAGGTCCCAAGGATGTCCCCGAGGGTCCCAAGGACGTCCCTGAGGGTCCCAAGAGCTCCAGTGATGTCCTCAAAGGTCCCAAGGACATCCCTGAGCGTCCCAAGTGCTCCAGTGATGTCCCTGAAGATCTCAAGGATGTCCTCGAGGGTCCCAAGAGCTCCAGTGACATCCCCAAGGGTCCCAAGGATGTCCCCGAGGGTCCCGAGAGCTCCAGCGATGCCCAAGATGGTTCCAAAGCCCCCCCAGGTGTCCCAAAGGGTCCCAAGAGCTCCAGGAACGTCCAGGAGGGTCCTGAGAACTCCACAAACATCCCAGAGAGTCCCAGGGACATCCAGGAGGGTCCCAAGAGCTCCAGGAATATCCAGGAACGTCCCAAGAGCTCCAGAAATGTCCCCAAGGGTCCCAAGAGCTCCAGGCACCTACCCAAGTGTTCCAAGAGCCCCAAAGACCCCGATGGCTCCAAGGACGCGGCTCGAGGTCCTGGCGGTCCCAGGAAGGTCGAGGAAGGCACCGACGCCCTTGAGATCGACCAACAGCCCAACTTCTCGGGGGGGGTTGGAGAAGAACCCAGAGAGGGATGTGGTGACCCCAGAGAGGGACACGATGACCCCAAAGGTGGACACGATCCCAGAGAGGGGCGTGATGACCCCAGAGATGGACACAGTGACCCCAGAGAGGGCCACGATGACCCCAAAGAGCGACACAGCCCCAGAGAAGGACCCGATGACCCCACAGGGGGACGTGGTGACCTCAAAGAGGAACACGACCCCAGAGAAGGACACGGTGACCCCAAAGAGGGACACGATGACCTTGGACAACGTGACGGCCCCGGGAAGAGACGCGATGACCCCAGAGATGGACGTGGATGCAATGACCCCAAAGAGGGACACGGGGACCCCAGAGATGGACACAATGACCCCAGAGAAGGACACAACGACCCCAAATATGGACATGACCCCAGAGAGGAACCCGATGACCCCAGAGAGGACCGCGACGACCCCGCAGAGGTTCACGGCGACCCCACGGAGGACCCCGACGCCCACCCCGACCCCACCGCCGAAGACCCCTGGGGCGGCCGCTGGGCCTGGGAGGACTCCGGCTCCTCCTCCTCCTCCTCCTCCTCCTGCTCCTCCTCCTCCTCCTCGTCGGACGAAGAGCTGGGGGTGGAGGACGACGGGGCCCCGCTGCCGCCGCCGGAGGAGCTGGGCCAGGGCAACCCCTTCCTGCTGTTCGTGTGCCTGGCCATGCTGCTGGAGCAGCGCGACGCCGTCATGGCGCGCGCCGGCGACTACAACGAGGTGGCCATGCACTTCGACCGCCTGGTGCGCCGCCACCACCTGCCCCG